GAGGACACTCGTACACCGCGTTTAAAAGATCACATCACAAGTTAAGCGTTCGGCCGACCCTGTGGCCCAACGGATAAGGCATCTGACTACGAATCAGGAGATTCCATGTTCGAATCCTGGTAGGGTCGTAAAACTAATTTTGTTGGTTGAACGAAAACGTCCAATCATTGGAGCCAATTAATATTATTGTTCAAGTAGGTGAAACCGTTATCTATTATTAATTATAATAGGCCTATATAGATGATATAATTATTACCTTACTAATGCTCTGGCAAACAAAATTTTAACGTAAACCTACAGGTACAAGATTTCGTGATGTTCAGAAGATGATTTCATCATTCAGACTGGGTTTACGTTTTAAATTTGGTTTAAATCATCATAGCATCATTATCATCATTGTAAATATTATTATTATTTATTTTTTATTATAATAATCATCATCGTTGTCGTCACAATCACCATCATTATTATTGTGTTCCATCCGACTTTTTAAAAAATAACACTCACCATGAACAAGCATACATGGGCCTACTGTCACGAATGCCTACCAAGCGATAGTATATACCGTAGTTCAGTCACGATGCTTTAAATCAGTGGCGGATACAAAAGGATGAGGAGCCACCCCGGCCCCCTACATTTTTCAAATAAACAAAAATAATGGAGAAAAAAAAAAGTCTGAGAGTTCCATTTCCGACCACCTAGAGGTGCCATAATCACCTCAGCCCCAACCACGGTAGGTGGGAAAGATATCTGTGAAAGTCATTCCTTGGGCTCCAAGTCCTATCGTTGTGGAGGTACCCTCCCTCCTAAATCACCAGAACCAGTGGACTAAACTATATTTTTCTTTAAAAAAAAATAGACTTCATTGTTGCGCAACTCTATCATGATCTACCATTCATCAATTCATCAGATATCATTAACCTAAGATAACAAGCGACAATAAAGAGTTATTTTGATTGCCACAGGAACGGAAGATGACATCACTAGCTCGTGTGCTTGTCGTGGGGGTCCGTGTTGTCATTGCCGCTTGGCTTTCATTTCGTTTATTTCAGTAAATTGTTCGTGTACTCTCTGGTTAGTGTGTGCTACAACTGTGTGTGGGAATGCTGTAGCGTGGTGTAAAGCGGACGCGGTTGCGTGTTAACGCGTGAACAGGTCCGAATAGTGATACAAATTTGTGCGTTGGATTGCTGCTCATGGTAAGAATGACATCACAAAGGTGTGTTTACACCTGAAAGAGTGCATTGTATAGGATACGCTCACCTGGTTGAGCACCATGGGAAAGGACTCCCTCTGTTGCTGGTGTCGTCATCCAAGCCATACAATATGTTCAAATCCCCTTTAGTCTGCAGCAAATGAACCAACACATTGACACTTAATTCCTGTACTGAAGAAACATAATTTGATGAAACCACTAACCATTGTAACCTGCCTTGCGCTATTGAACTGATGCTGGCTAGCATTGTCCCAAACCCAAGCGAATGATGGCGTTCTTGTAACGTTCGGATTGTATAGGACCGTGAGAAAGTTGCTAAGGGACGCACCCGGGATAAAAGTGCCCTTGTTTATATTTACCTGGCTAAGGTTGATTAATTTCCGTGGGACTTTTTTTAACGAAAAGTCATTCGATATAATAAAGACTGCATAGCAAAAAGTAGGGTACCAAGCACTGTGCCCTTGACGACAGACCCCAAACACCTGGTACGGGCTCTGCGAACACGTGTTCAGGGTTCATTTGAAGTTAAACTTCGATTACCTTTACTGGCTGTAAACACTGTTATTCGTTTCTAATATGATTTTGATAGTTTTTTTATTTTTTACTTAAGAAACAAAATATAAAAGGGTGAATCGCTAATAAAACTTATATCAATAAGATGCTTCTCCCATTCTGTATATGGCAGACTGTTAGTTTTGAATACTTTGATTTTTAAATATACAGGTCTTTCTGTAATTAAATACCCCTCTAATGACAGACCACTTCCCATTAAAGACCATCCTCTCGCAGCCCCAAATGAATGCCTATCTTATATCTTTTAAATACTTACCGTAAAAACCCTTGCCCAGAAGTGGCCTTTAATTAGATAGAGACCTGTACTATTAAAACCAATGTATGCCTACATGTAACTTCATGGGAACCGGACGGGTCCTAAACAAATATTTCTTTCTCCTCACTCAGAGCGACATTATGACTAATAGGCCCAATTTGTTATGGAAAACTTAGTTAACACGCAAACACGTCCGCTTACAACACGCGCTACAGAGGTATTCCCAAACTTCAAACTGAATTTCCGGTAGACATTTTATTACGCTTAAGTATAGATAATTTCCCACCATATGCTTCGACGTTTTATAACTATTGTCATCACTTTTAACAATAAAGCTAATAGGCCTAAATATAGATAAAACACAGACAACGAGTTGTTCCAAAGAATGTGCATATACAGGAAAAATTAAAAAAAAAATTGCTTCAATTAGGGCTGACCCTACTTTAAAAAGAAGGTGATCGGATCACCCTCAGTACTGCACAATGAAGCTAATAGTCCTAAATATAGATAAAACCACAAAACGTTGTTCCAGAGTGTGGGGGTTATACTGGCTAATTAAAAAAATATTTGCTCCAATTAGGGCTGACCCTACTTTAAAAAGAAGATGATCGGATTACCCTCAACACATCGTTTCTACACATCGTTCGACATTAGATTTATAAAGCAGATTCTCAACCTATTTCAGGAAAAGGGTTCACCAGGACTAGGTTGAAGGTTGAACCGAACAAGTGTTGCAGACTATCGAACAGGAAAATGGTTGACCTAACCCGATTAGATAAACTTAAAAAAAGCGGGAAACTGCAACATAAAATAAAAATATATCGTGGTATATACAAACTATATTTTGGGTGAGGGTGTTGGTGATGGTGGTATCACGGAATGATTAATCAGAGTTGTGTACCAGGTAGTATACCGCTCCGAGTATGTGGATTGTTAAAAAAATAATTATGTTAATGACGTGATTTAACTATTTAGCATCTATAAACCGGTTTATATTTTAACAGTTGTCAATGATTAGACCTTAAATTCGATTCGTCCTATATATCTCAAAATTGATTAGGCCTTTGAACTTTTCTCTTAATACATATTCATGTGATAAGACGAAATAGGCCTATTTATTTCCTGAATAACGTCCTACTCTCTATTTTAGTGTTTTAATATAGGGTAGGTCCTGTATGTCTATAACTTATCGCCCATTGTGCAGCAATAACTTTTTTTGGCTGTGGTTTGCATAAAAATAATGTACCGGTACCGTAGTAAGTTAATATGAAATATAAATAAAATAATTACTTAACTTATTATTACAGACCTTTACAATACTTACGCCTACTTATACTACGAAGGCCTATATAAAAAAAAAATCCCAAATAGTGTTTTGTAATGAATTATTATCAATCAGCTTGTCAGCTCCGCCTACTAATCACACCCTAAAATATAGCACGATAAATTAACCCATAATTCTTACTTCGTCGACCCATTTGTAAACCCAAAAAACGCAATGAAGTGTCCCTGACGTGATTTCCCCTCCAGGAAACCCCTTTCAAACGCTTTCCCCGCGGATATTTTCGCTTGGGTCGGGATTAAAGAGCCAGAGTTGAGTCTTAATCGGATTCGCGTATTGTTAGCATATTGCAACTGAATACATCTTGGTTATATAATGCTTGACTGCAGAAATTGTTGCCGGTGGCGGGAAAACTTCATTACGTTTGGTCAAAAATCTTGTTCACAGTAATAATGTGTGTTGGTTTTCTTCAGTGTCGTTTGTTGGCATAAGGGTGCAAATCTTATGGGAAGTAGCGCAGGTAACCACGGATTAGGCCATAGCCCAAGGCTTCTATTTTCGTTACTGTTACAGGACGAACTCGGTGCCAACTAGTCTACACTTATACAACGGTACACATCATATACTCTTACGTTCATTTGTCACAATAATAGTTGTTACTGCTAACACCTCCATGCTGATTATATAT